TTTAACCCTAGATAAAACAGTTCACTTACTTTCATGTTATTTAACTTTCTTCTAACCTGTTAAAAATTGGGAACTCTGACATGAGAAATGCCCTTTAGAAATGAAAAGCAGGCACTTAGTTTGGGGAAAAATCTTTGTCAGTGCAGCAGCACTGCCTGCATCCTCACACGGCTCTGGCCCCCAGAAGTGCTGCTCTGGGGAAAGCCTCTCTTCTCAGGACCCTTATCTCCAGCCTGCCTCTCTGCAGTGGGGCTGTGTCCAGAGCTTGGACAGCCCCGGCACAGAGGACACCCGTCCTGAGCTTCTGTTCTTACAGATATAGACCATAAACAGGACAATCTGTGCTCTTTGGCTCTCTCTGCTGGCTGCAGCGCACCCCATTCCTGGGCTAGTGCTCAGCGATGTCCCCCCACATTGCACCCTTTGGGGAACAGGCTGGCATAGTGAGCAGAGCAGCAGGGAAAGAAATATTGCGTTTGAGCCTCTGGGAAGAATCACAAACCCTGACGAGCACAAGAAGTAAAATAGGGAAGGAAAGAGGTGGCAGTGAAGTTTTACAAAAGAGCCTTGCGAATGTGACAGCCAATTTCCAGGGAGATCTTTTTTTCTTCCTTAAACATCAGCCCTGAGGAAAAGGAGAGATTTTTCTTGAAGGCAGAATACAAAGCTGTGTAAGGCAGCAAACACTCTACTTCGGGGGACAGCAGCACCGGACTTATTGCCTGGCCTGGAGGGATTCACCAACTTCTGCTCTGTGCCCAGGGGAATCTCCTAACAAGGGTTGAAGGATGAGCAAGGGAGGGCCCAGGAGCATCTCTTGGCTCACCTCCCGGGAGTGCTTTGCCAGGGCTGGAGACAAGGAGTGTTTCCTCCCTCCACACAGTGGAGCGCAGCAGGCTGCCGTCAGCAAGAGCCAGCTGCGTGGAGGGGGAGGCAGGCAGTGGAGAGCATCAGGAGGGATGCTCTGGCGTTGTGTGCCGGACCAAGTCCCTCTCTCTCTGGTCCAGCAGCCAACCCAGGTGATGAGCAAAGTGTGAATTTCAGTGCATCATTTTATGCTTTCTCAGGGAGTCTCTGTAGGAAATAATGGGCACCTTCATTAAGTTAATTTTGTTAATTGAATGACCAGGTGGGTTTCTTTGTCAGATGATGTTGGAAATATTAGTTCATAGCACAAACTGGCATTTGTACCATACATATGAGAAAAAGTTAACTTAGTGATTTTTTTGTGACCTTGTTAATTTTCTTTGTGGTCTACAAGTTGTTTATGGGGTAAGTCTCCTAAGACGGGGATCCAGAAAGTCTTCTGAGGTACTCACAGCATCTGGCCAAACAGCTATTCTCGGAAATGCAGTTAGATGCTGACAAAAAGTAGCAAACCATTCCCTAATAAAACAAAGATAAAGGAGAAGAAAATGCTCAGTGTAAGTGAGTTTTATTGCATTATTCTGGTGAGAAGCTGTCAAAGAGTCAGAAGGTGTTCAGAGAGCAGAGAGTACAGTCTGTTCCTTTATCATAATAACTTTTATTGCCTAGGTATAGCTTTTCTCACCCTGGTCAATAAACATCCTGCTGCTTTGCTTTCAGAGAATTAGGACTCGGTTGCAGCAGCAAATACTTCTTTCCAAATGCCTGATGATGACCCATATGGGGGCTGAGGGTTGCTCCAGTGCTCCCCAGAGGTGCTGGGAGTTGGGCAGGATGAAAGGGAAGAAGATTCCTATGTTGAGAGCAGAGACCTGGGAATCTGAGATGCTCCCAGTGGTTGCCGTTCAGAGCGACAGTGTAATGATTGCTAGGAGCCACAGTGGCAGAGTAAATAGAAAGGCAGCGCAGAGCATCTTACAGGCTATTCTGGGTGAAGGGTAGTTGTGCCCATGGGTCCGGGCTTTTGGTCTTTTCTGCAGAGCCAAAAGGAGTTAGCTGGCGCCAGAGTGGACCCAGGCTATGAAATCTGGATCCCACAAGTGTTTCCTCTACACCACAGCTAGGATCGCTTCAAGCTACCTGTCACCAGCAAGCCTTATGGGCCAAGGAAGACTTGCCTTTACCAATTTGGGCTGCACATAAAAAAGATCCCAGCCTGCTTGCTACAATGAATGTACCCTCCCTGGCATCGTTAGCTGGAGAGTTTGCTGCTGGGGACGGCTAAGATCATCACTGACTTCCCGTTGCGGGAATGTGTGTTTCCAGGCCTTATACAACCTTTTCTGGTTTTCATTAAAAGTAACTCTTCAGACAGCAGTTTCAAGCCCTTTTATGTGGTTCCTCATGGATATTTCCCTGCACTGCCTCAGATGAATCACCAGGTTGAAGGTACCTGCTGGAATGGGGATTGCTCTAGGTCTGCCCGTGACACCAAGTGTAAGAGGGGACATGAATCAGCTGTGTGTGGATCATCAGAGCCCCTAACCTTCCCCAGGCCCATGCTGAGGCTGCTCCTCCATGGAGCCTCGGCTCTGAGCTGCAGACAACATTGCTTGAAAACCTCTCTCAAAAATTGCTCCCTCCATCAGCAGTTCTGGCCCGTGGGAGCTGACCATCCGTATGTGCTCATCCCAGATTCAGCCTTGCCCAGCAAGAGTCTTCCCAGCCCTGGACACTGTTCCATGGCTGTGTGGCCAGGGGTTAAATAGAGCCATTTAATCTCTTTACCCCATAATTCCCACCTATCAAAGAGAAGCAGTAAATCTTTCTTTGTCTTTCTAGCCTTTTTAGCTTAGCAGGGCAAGACTGTGTCTTGTGTTGTGTTTGTATGGCTCCCAGCACCTGGGATTGCTGGCGCTGCTGCAGTGCAATTACATGTGGTGATACTGTATTTAATGCCCTGGGAGCCATCTCCCCAAACTCCAGGAGTTCCTGAGTTGACATAAGGAGCAGGTTTGTCTTTCTGCCTCTGAACTGAGGACACTCGGATGTGCCTCCACCACTATATCTTCTTAAGTTTCACAGAAGGTGCCGTGACGTGATGCCAGCTGTATTGCTGAAACAGGTTGGTGTAGCATGTGAATCACTCTGTCTTTAATTCCTGCTTGTGCTTGAGGATCATCCGCATCCCTATTTGTGATGTGTTTCACTCCAGCAATTGGCAGGATTAAACTCCCTTCAGAAGCACTGGCTGAGCATAGTGACCAAGAGGAAAAACCTCAGGCAAGTAGAGGTCTATTTATATCCCATGAAAGATGGACTTGGTGCATAAGAATATTCAAGCCCCTGGCACCTCCACCCCCTTTCTGTTCCTGTAGCTGCTGTCTTGAGGCGGTCTCAGCACTGAAGAATTAGCTGCTTTTTGAAAGCTAAGTGGAACCTCAGTCAAGACAGGAGCGAGCAGCCAGGGATGGGGAGGTCTCTGCTTTACTGAATCCTCTAAAATCTGCTCCCTTGACCATGCACAGCAGAAAAGGAATCAGACGTGAGCTAGGGCTGTTGCTGTCTCCTCAGAGAGTCTGTCTCCACACTTTCAAACGGGGTCCTATTCTCACCCTGTCTGCTTTTAAGACTGAGAAATGATCTACATTACCTGCACTTCTCAAATGTCTTTTTGGAGGCTTCCCCCACAACAACGCTAGCCCTACCCCTCTCCCAGGGTGTAATGATTGCTAGGAGCCACAGCACCATCCTGCACCCTCCCCAGCTGCACCTGCCACAGAAATCCAGTGGGTGAAAAAGGGTGTCCTGCAGCACAGGCAGCAGCCACGGGTGCCCTGCTCCAGGGAGGGAGGGCAGCATCCAGTCCTGCCTCTGGGCTCGGAGGGGCCGATACCAGCAGCTCCGCTCCCCATGCGCATCCCCTGCTGCCCTTGCCTGCTGCCGGTCGGCTGCGGAGCAGCCCAGCCGAGCCCTGCAGTGAGTGAGCGTGGCAGGGCTGGGATTTTCACATTGGCACTGCTATAGTTCCTAATGACAAGGGATTCACCTTCCCCCAACTCGAATCTAACAAACCCCTGCCCGCAGGGAAAGGAGGTGCAGACCAAGAATAAAGGCAATGGCCCATGAGCCATCAAGAATGATGCCCCACAGAAAGCTATGCTCAGCACCGACCAGAGGCGACTTAACACGTCCTCAGCTGGGGAATCCACCCCCACTGGGGTCGTGCTCAGCCCTCCACTCATGAACATCTCCAAGATCCCCTGTTTTTCACCTTTCGTTCATATATGATGGCTATAAAAAATTTGTTTTCTTTAGTCCTGAATGATGAATTTCTCATCAAAGTGATGCCTGGCCCTCACGCAGGATGCATGCTCTACAGCTCCAACTCACCCCCGATTGCATGTCACAAACCAGCACGGCTGGAAAGGAAAGAGACTCTGCAGAAGCACAAATTTGTCTTCCGTTGAGAGCAGCATGTCTTTTTCCCAATGCTATCTCCTGCCCTACTGAACCTTTTAATATTGCCTTTAATGATGATGTGGTGGCTAAAAAACCTGCTGTAACCAGTTTATTAGATGGAGAGGGGCTGACAGCATGGGATTAACATCCCAGCTTTACAGGGGTGCAAACCTCCCTCTGTGCGGCAGAACAAAGGAAAACTTTCCAAAGGAATCCCAGAAGCAGTGTTTGTCGGGGATGTTGCAAGGAGTAAAATATGGCAGGTAAGAAAACCTTTTAGGGTTTGTGGCTGAGGAGGGAATGAGTTATGTGTGGGGTAAACCTGTACTGTGAACAACTTTTATGATCCCCATCGCTTGGAATACACAGCTGTGATTTATAGTGATGTCTTTGGTGATTGGTGTAAATCCTCTAGACTGACTGAAGTGCCGGTGCTGTGGATTTGATGCAGCCACAATTGCAGGGATTTGATATCTAAAATACCGCTGTGTCTCTAGGTCCCTTAGAAAGACCACAGCAAAAAAATTCACTTTAAGAGATACTGTGTGCGTGTGCATATGTGTGCATGTGGATGCTGTTTGCTGTTGCTGCCCTGAGACGGGCAGCATTTTGAGGACAAGCAGTCTGAGAGAGGTGACTTAGGTTTTCTCATTGACCACCAAATCTCAGCATCACCTTTTGGAACATAAACTTTATTGCAACAAAGAATTAAAAATAGTACATCTGAAAGAGTTGCAGAGTGCATGTCATTAAAGAACTAGTCAGAAATCACAACTCAAGCAAATCGTGTACAATTGGAACAGAAAGTTTTATTAAAACAACTGGAAATCAAACTCAAATTTTCCTTGTTTGTTTAATTTCACCATAACCGTGGATTGTGTATTTACAGTCTTCGCCTCTTGTGGTGAAGGTTCTGCTCAGGGCGGGGGGCTAGGAAGAAGGCAGGGATGGATGGGGAGGAGAGGTGGGTTTCAAAAGCTAACAGGATGTGAAAGTTTTCCAGAAGAAGTTCTTGCAGCCTGCTTTGCGTTCCCGGGGTGCCAGAGCGGGGTTTGAGTTAGCCGAGCGCTCCAGCTCCAATCTCACTTCATCCTGCTCGGCCCCTCGGGACAAGTCCTCAGACTCCAGGGCTTCATTTTCTGTCTGACTTGGCTCTGAGAGCAGTTCTGCCAAAAAGTACTTGGCCAGTTCCTTGGGGGAGAAGAGAGAGAAAGATAGAGAGAGACCACAATTACTCTTTGGCTTTTGGGGGCTAACCACTGTCCCTCTAAGACACCTTTGTGCCCAGATTAGAGACATGCTCGACTCTGGAGGAGGAGGGGAGCCCCATCTTTCCAAAGAGCCCAGCTCCACAGCTGCTACGCAGCAGCTGCGCCTACGAAATAAAGCGGAGCAGAAGAGCGCTGACATCTACCTGGTGTGGGGAAGAGACTGCTTTCTGGGCCATGGCAGGGAATGAGCTTATCTGAGCACCACCCCACCTTCCCTTCCTACTGGTCCAGCACCCGGTGCTGGACTTGGCAAGGATGCCACGAGGATGCTGCTAAAGCGACATGGGAAAGGTCTTTAGGGGAGCTTGCAGGGGAAGCTGACTTGGGGAACCTTCTAACTGGGGGTTATTTTTCCTCTTGCCCCTCCAAGCTCTGGCTTGCACGGCTAAGGACATCCTCCTGCTGCACCTAGGCAGCCGCCTTGGTTCAGCGCCCCAGAGAAGCCCTGGAGAGCTTCACCAAGGGCTCTGCCCTCTGCCCTGGCAGCAGCTGCTCCTCATCCCCCGCCAGCACCCAGCTGGGCTGGGCTCGGGGGGTCTCCTCTTCCCACCCCCAGCTGCCCAGCCCGTCCCTGGCTCAGCCCCGGCAGGGAACCAGGGGATCTGCCGGGGAACCGGGGTCTGCAACAAGCAACTGGGTTCTGAAACGAGGCCATGGGTGGAGGTCTGGTGAGGAACTGGAGGTCTGCACTGAGGGTACTGGGGTGTCCAGTGGGGAACTGGAAGGGTCTGCAGCAGGGAAGCCGGGGGTCTGCAATGGGGATGCCAGGGGCTCTGGCGGGGAAAGGGAGGGTCTGCAGCGGAGAACTGGGGGGGGTCTCCAGAGGAGAAGCGGGGGTCTGCAGCGGAGAAGCAGCGCTGGGGGGTCGGGGTGCCCAGC